AAGGAGATCTCGATTCGAGAAATATTTCGTTTTTATGGCAGTACGTACTGAGCAAAGCGAGGACTAGTTTGAAACAAGAAAATTCATCTGTTACCGAGTTGATCTTTCATCATAGATGAAATATTTTGTTCTTGAATCAAGAAACTCCCAGCTTGTTACAAGATTGATAATGTCATTGTAATTTGGATATTTTTTCAGAAGATCTTTATTTTCCTGGGCCAAAAGATTCTCATTCCGAAAAGAGAAAATACAGTTTATTATTAGAGTATTGATGGTCTCACCATAAATGGAAAGAAATATACTCTAACAGTTAGTAAACATAAAACTGTGTTATGTTATGTTGTCCTTTTATATGAGATCAAACATAAATTCATGTATCATAATGATGAGAACATAATATACATAATAGCAAAATTATCAAATACTGGTCAGTATAGGTTTAGGAGGCAGAATATTCATAAACAATTAGATATTTTCTCGTTACAAGAAATTCTTCGATTGACAAACGAAAATATGTATGATTGTTGTTTGAAAGGTAGGTTAGTTGAAACACGAAGGAAGGAGACATTTATATAAACTTATACTTATTTGAAGATTCTTTGAAAAAGGAGGAACCTCAGTACAACTATGTTACGAAAATATACGAAGTTAAGAGTTCGTTCCTGTTTGAAATTAATACCTGAATACCAACACGTATTTGAGTTACCCTTACATCCGATTGTACTCAAATGTGGAATGCCGCTCTGCTTTCAAAATGATACCACATCATTTTCCATGACTGAGCACATTTGATTCTTGAATACTTCACTATTGAGAAACGAAGGTGATTTGCACCGTCCATCGTCTCTATCTACACCTCAGCGGCAATGGCGTATAGCGACTGACTAGTCGATTGACGCAGGTGTTCACTTTTCCGCTGTATACGTCACTGCATACCTTTTTGACAAGCAGATACTTCCTTGAACCAATATAAATTCACATTCATGTCACTTGTAGTCGCTGTTTTCCTGAATGAAGAAAAATACTGATCATGTTGAGCAACTTCATACCAAGGAACTTGGAGAAACAAATCAAGCATGACAATTGATTTGAGACGAGTGTGGATTGCTCAAATCTAATGAAAAATCATTCGATGGAGCAAGTTATTTTTTTGGATTTGATTGATTGAAGAAATCCTCTCAATTTGTGTGGGATTAGTCATGAGGGATACCCAACTTCACGTGAATGAATACCCGTTGAAAATGTGCCTACGCTTCAAGTGGTTCCATACTTTCTTCCAACTCTGTATGAAATAATATATGAATTGAGTCAGAGAAATTGCCACTATAGAGAAACCTTCTAACATAAAGAAGGCCCAAAACAACATGACAGTCCTACGCAAGAATCTACGCCGCTGCTACTTACACGACTTTGCATAAAACCAGCGACGACACGTCTATGCTGACTTAGCACGTACCGGCCCACTAATTAGTGGGCCGGAAGCAAGTTTGAAGCTATATTGATGCAATGTTCAAGCAATCTTTCAAACGGACGTTCAGCAATATTGCTTATGTGAAGTTCGATAATGTAGCGTTGCAGCAATATCACATGTGGCTGTGACATTACTGGAACGTTACATTTACAAATTTGCATGTGCAATATTGCTGGACGTCAGTTTTAGTAATTGCTAACTTCCAAGATTGTTTATTGGGGGGTGCTTCGCTTCAGTCAATGATAATGTGGCTCTGTGGCTCCCAATGGAAATTGAATTCACAGTAATGTTTGAAATTAGTCTGTTATGACGGAAACTGACGGAAGTAAGATTCACTCATAAAAATAATTGAAGTGAAAATCACCAATATTTCGCGCCAAATATATCATGACCAAGAATTTACTCAGTTAATAGATGATAGTAGCGATAGGAACCTTGGTAGTACCTGTACAAATTCAATGCTACAGTGAGTTCTCTTTGATAGATGAACGTTATCAGAAGGAATTCCTTCAAAGTTACATAAATCAACTACCCCCGCCTATAGTTTCAGGGAGTGAAGATTTCGTATAATCACTAAGTGAAAAACCATCAAGGTTGAATTATTGTTTATAGCAAACTATGCAGGGTGTTACTTGAATGATGTCATTGGGTCCTAACTTCGTTCTCGAGTAATGAGTTGTCAAAGTTTTACTTCAAAATAGGATTTCATCAATCTAATTTCATGATAAGGACCATCGTATCACAAATTATACTTCAGCGTTTCTTTCAATGGTTATGGATGAAAAATACTTCACTAACAATATTTATTATCTGAAATTTCCACATTTTTGCTAAATGAAACGTTAATTCTATCAACAGTATAGAAATTATTCAGCAAGCAATTCATCTGAATCAATTTCCACCAATCTACATCTGCTTCATTTCAAACGAGCGAAAAGTTTGCAGTTCGAGTTTTAGACGAGGATTTTGGTTCGCTAGTTTGGAAATACTTTCTCTTGCTATATTTCAGAAATTGGAAACAAAATAGCTTAACGTAGTTACCGAAGTTACCTGACATTTCATTATGATTCTATAGTATGGAGAAGATATCATCTGGTGCAGTTTGAATTGATTCCCAGCTGCATGCTGAATCATACCAATACAACTGATGATCGAAATGACATTATTTCACACTATCCCACACCCAGCAACAGTCTTTCTATTAGTCCTATTCCAAGGAGAACTATGGTGTTGTGTTTAAAAAAAACTACAATCACCTATTAACTGTTCTGAATTGCACTGGGGTTTGTTATGTTGTCCTGAAAAGCATCATAAACAAAGTCCAATGCGTTTCAGAGCACCATATCGAACGGTACCACGCTACTGAAAATGCCACTTGGGTCTGGAAAGCATGAAATACTCTAGACACTCTATGAGAAACATAACAATCAATAATTTCAGATCATTGCATCATCTATTGTGTAGAAGATTTCCTTAGTGACTACTTGGAAAATGAAATGAGAAAAATAATATTAGTATCAATATAACAGTATACATTTTTTTCCATTTTTAAATATATCGTTTGTGATTTCATTCTAAACTTATAATATAAACCTTTACAATTTATTGCTATTATTTACATATTCATCATCACTTCATGCTTCATTGTTCATCATAATAATCACAATCTTTCGAATATTCGATTCATTAAAAACTTACTCATATTAATATTCACGTGATGTTTATTATTGTATCATCATAAACTCAATGCAGAGGTTAAGTTCAATCTTCATCAAAGTTCATACAATAGTATTATCCCATTCATTCATATCTTATAATAAGATCAGTGTATTTCTGGGTAGAATAGCTACCGTGATGCGGTTCTATACAGGGTGTTCAATAAGTAGCGTGGAATATACTCTGGCAGTAGATTCCACAACCAAAAATAAGAGGAGAGTTCGAATGAATATGGTCCCAAGGAAACTACAGCCTCTTAGGGAATTTATTCAGCAAAATCAGAAACTCATGTTTGACTTTGACAAAATGGAATTAGAATTAAGAACCTATCTACTATACAATTTATTTGGAAATTGTTGTTCTTCAGCTTAGCGCTACTCTCAATGAACAATTAAATATTGTTGACGATTGTTATCATCCCCAAAACCTTATAAGTTTCCAAGATAAAGCATTTCAGGAGTTAGCTGTCCAGGATCCACCGACTAATTCCTCTAGAGATTAATAACAGGCTGAATCTCGTAAAGTGGGTTCCTTTTGAAGAGACGCCCAAGTTTTTCTTCTTCGAAAATTTCTAAATAACGAGGTCAGGAGCGTTAAGTTATGTGACAAAACAAGAATCGAGTTACACGTTGACGAGAGGATCAACTCACATAGCCAGGCCTCTTCCACACCAGGAAGTATGGTTTTTCTCTTCTAGAAATGCGTAGATTCTGAATCAGCTACGAGAACCGACAAAGAACGCTATTCATTGCAGAAATCGCAAAATTTGGTGTATTTCCAACTTGCTTAAGCTCTTTTCTCGTTAGTACTTCATTCATGAGCAGGAACAAATATATGTATGGAAGTTGCATCTCCTCAACAATTTTATGGCATTGTATTTATGCTATGATAACGCTCCAGGAATTTTTGTCTGCAATCTTCAGATTCAGATTCAGCACCGCCAGAAACATATTAAACCGGAGGAAAACCGACTATTTGATTTTGTTTCTACGTGCTGATACCATTTGATTGCACTAGCAATGTTTTCTGCTATAGTGGGCTCAAGTTCACATTTTGATCGAATATATTATTCATTTCTGAGAACATATGTTGAGGAGGAGCTATCAATCCCAACCCCTATTGTGATAAACAAAAAAAAAATATTGTGTAACTGTCAAAATGAATGGGAATAAATGATTCATCATGTGAAATCATCGAAACAGCCTTTCCTACATTATTGCTTCCGCCAAATGGAGGGTGCACATAGAAAAAAAAAAAAGGAAGATTTTGCCAAATTTTTAGTATCATGTACTTCATGTATTCATATTTTTTGCTAGAGGACAGAATAGTTTATCTATACTACTTACCCGAGAACTGCTTTCAATCTCTCTTCTCTATATTTACTGACAATAATTAATTTTTCATTGAAAAATATCAAAGTGGATTTCCACCCCGAACCAGCATCTTCAAAATTTGAAAGAACGAATTCTGCAGAATTTGAAAAGGTATAAAATGTTGTTAAGTAACGCGAAATTATGGAAAACGCTCACTTACATGATTGCCCCCTCCCCCCAAAAGCAGCAGGATAGCTGATTCCTGGAAAATGATTATTTGGAGAACTGTTTGTTCATGTTTTGTAATGAGTTCAACAGGTATTTGCATGAATATAGCGATATTAGACTAATTGGTGAATGTTCCATAGTCAAGAATCGAAGAAGCTGCACTTTTCCAGACGTGATTGCGAATTGATCCAAATGAAGGAAATAGTTTGAAGTATTGAAACCAGATGAATTTCGAATTCGGAAATAACGTCGTTATAATTATGCGTTGTTTTCAATTGCAAATATATTCATAATTCTTAGTTCATCGAAACGAGAATGTTATTCATTCAAAATTTCTTTTATTCTCAGCTGCAGAATTTCAGAATAACGTCGATTCCAAATAAGAACACTCAGTTTTCTCCCAACCGATATTCTCTTGAAGAACCGACAGTAGCTACTGGCTCATACGACTCCTTCACTAGTTCTTTTAGCTTGTTGGTTTCAATGTCGTATAGCACTGTCCAGAACTTTGAGCCAGATTCACTTGTGTTGGTTGAGTCGCCGCGACACCCTCAAATTTTGGTCTGATGCTCATTAAGAATGCTGGATTTGATTCGAGTCCAACTCCGTTTGGATTTAGGGATGATGTCACCCCTATCAATCCTGAAAAAGGCAATCTATTATCAGCAAAACCATTTTTATACGTTTATGATTCTCAGAACCACATAAAAGTATTCATGTCATGTAGTAACGGATTTCTATAACAAAATGATCGTATTCCATCTGTAAACACCACACTACTACAACACACCATGCATCAATATGTTACAGCAAAGTATACGATCATCTTGATAACAGTATATACGCTTATTTTCTGATATCATGATACACTGTGCCCATCAAGGTAAGATGGGCCCAGTATGGAAAACTACGAGAGTTGCAGATTTGGATGTATTGAAGGAGTGGCGCGAGTGAAGGACCAACAAAATTTCTGATATAACTATTTGGTTTTGAGTTATTATCAGAAAACTGTAACTCCAGATTTTCAATTCTATTTTTCTTGATAGCGTTGATAATGCAGTTATGACAACTGATGATAAATATCTGCATGGCAACTTTTGATGCTTTTTCATCATAGATTTTCTGATCCAACACTTTTCAGAAACCATCATCGACTTGTTATTTCAAATACGGCCCCGATGTTTTCAGAATCAGATTCGAATAGACCTTTCCAGTTTGATTTTGACGATATACCACAATTTTTGGAAAACGGACCTGAATTTCTCATAATTCTGCGAGAAAATCATTAGAATTCACTTCGAAATGATTGGAAGAACCTCTGGACAATTTGCCACTAGCTGAAGTTCAGTCATGTTAGTTCCAGCAATGAGGACGACGCCAACGGCAGCATTAGGAGTAATGCTGAGGCTACCATCGCTTCAAATTTGGATAAAGAAGGAGGAGATGGTGCACCTGAGGATGCGGGACTGAGGAAACTGAGCAAGTGAAGGGACAATAACAGGACATGCAAAAATAGCGGAGTAGGTGGAGCAGGAGATTCCTATCTCCACTTTCAGAGTGAATGAAGTTGTAACGAAGTTACTCAGATTTGATTACTCTCAGGGGAGACATCCTGTATACTTAGTATAGAGAATAACTATGATGATATTAACTTGAGTAAATGACAAGCTATCGGCGCCGTTCTTTTTCGTAACTGAATCATTTATTGCTCCGGGAGTAATACTGTAATTTGTTCGTGAGCGCGAATTAGAATTTTGATAGGTTGGATTAATCAGTAATTAAATGATAGCGAAATAGAGATATCCGAAGCATAGCCGAGACTCACGGACGGCGGTCGGCTGCGCGATAGCGCAATTTTCGCCCCACTCTCGGGTGAGAGTGGGAACCCGAGGCGAGCTCCGTCGATAGGAACCAAGAAAAGTTAGTTGTTGCTGACCGCATATACCGAATTACACGCTGAGGAATAAAATAGAAACCGCTAGACCGATCCACTTGATACCGCAAGTGCTTGAAAATAAACTTACTTAGGTGAGTCCGCTTGATATGCAAACGATAACAGTGCTGCTTGTGTAGGTTGCAAGAACGGATACCGCCGTTCTTGAGTTTGCTTAGATCTCGTGAGTTTCAATTTAGTTGAACAGCACGGCTTTATTACTGGGCTACGCTCGTGATAAGACGGTGTTGCCGGATGAATTGAAATTACGAAGATTCCGGATATCCGATTCAGTTTATCAGCACGGTTCTATTTCTGGGCTACGCTCGTAATAGGACGGTGTTGCCGGATGCATTGGAAAACCGTAGATCTTGGAAACTTTTAATCAGCTGAACAGCACGGCTTTATTACTGGGCTACGCTCGTAATAGGACGGTGTTGCCGGATGCATTAAAGTGTGGTAGACCTTAGAGACTTTGGTCCAACTGCACAGCACGGCTTTATTACTGGGCTACGCTCGTAATAGGACGGTGTTGCCGGATGAATTGGAAAACCGGAGATCTTGGAATCTTTTATTCAACTGTACAGCACGGCTCTATTACTGGGCTACGCTCGTAGTAGGACGGTGTTGCCGGATGAATCAGAGTACGGGAGTTCTGAAAATCTTCGATCCAATTGTACAGCACGGCTCTATTACTGGGTCACGCTCGTGATAGGACGGTGTTGCCAAGTGCATCGAAAAAAAAGGAGATTACCTGTCGGAGTCAACCGAAGCACTGCAACTGCACTTTATTTTACTATTAACTGCTTGTGCTTGAAAATAAAAGTTTGATTTGAGCTGGAGAGCTAGAGGCTTTGTACTAGAGATGCTTTTCTAACCCTGCCTGTGTCGATAATTAGATTGCGTGCTTATTGCTTGATTGTATTTAATGAGTAGATGTTTCAGTGATAAATGCATTTTGCATTCCGCGTCAACAGAAGGTAATGAATTCTGGTTTCTTGGGGTAAATTTGTACATATACTGGGGAAGAGCCATAGGAACCTAAATTATATTTAGGATAGTAGATTCACTAGATGATTGTATAGTAGAGTTAAGGAATAAATCAAGTTAGTTGATATTGAGTTTCATTTTGTTTTATAACAGAGCAGTTGGTAATCCGGGAAAAATCAAACCAATTATTGAGATCAACTTATCATTTTGAGAGATAGATATCAGACCCCTGGATTACCGTTTCTTCACTGAAAGCTGCCCGGTGCAAGTGGACCTACCACTATAATATAGGTGGCGCCCGAGTTAACATTTCTTGTAAATAATTGTAGAACCCGCTTCAAGTGCCCGAATAAAGTCAAGGGTACCTTTAACCCTTTACAAATTTGGCGCCCGAGCAGGGACCGATAAAAGCCGAGTGAGATCGAAAGATAAACCGAGGAAATCCGAGGAAACCCGAGGAAAACCGAAGTCAGCTTTTCGTGAATGTGGGCAAGTTATTCCTGTTTAGCGAGTACTTTGGGTAGGGAAAACTGCTTCGCGTATTCTCGAGTAGGTACGATCACCCTGTCGCGTGTTAGGGGTGGCAAAGAAGTTTATTCGAGGTTAGCACATGATAGGACGTTATTAAGTGGCCGGCCACAGCATTTAACGTGATCAGATTGTTACCTGTCACTTTGACAGCTGTCAGACAAGTTAGTCATATATCGTGTCGCACCTCGTTTATTAGGTTTTGGCAATCGGTGAATCTGATTTTGACACTACCGACAGGATACGATTTTTCGTTCTCAAGATATTTCGATAGTTTAGGAGAGTACACCGATTCGATCGAAAATGGTGAACGAAGACAATACTAAGGCTCCGGAGTCCGCAGACGGACAGACTTCTCCGTCGAAGTCTAAGGACCCCGTAGATGTCAGAGTCAGCTGGGTATATCAGTTGAAAAAGGCTGACATAGACGTGGAACTGTCTAAGTTTGGCCTTGAAGTCACTGGAACAGTTGAGGACAAAAGGAGACGACTGGTTAGGTTCCTGAGGGAAGGTCGAATGGGTACCGCCCCACCAACACCGACTCCAGGGAATGTCCCACTGACTTCGGCCTGGACATTCTCGAATATGAACACCGTACCCCAGGTGAATCTGCCATCACCCGGAACCGTGCCGACAGGAAGCGTACCGACATTGACAACAGCTCCATCCACATCGATGGCAACCGTGAGTCCAGAACCGATACGCACTCAACACTGGAATTTGTCATTTGATGGGCTAGGCGACCCGGTTGCATTTCTAGAAAGGTTGGAAGAGATCAGGGTGTCTCAGAATATACCTGCTCATAGGTTGATAGCAGTGTTGCCAGATTTATTCTCAGGGGAAGCCGCCCTCTGGTACCGAAATAACCGAACAGCCTGTTCATCGTGGGATGCATTCGTCGAACTATTCCGAATCTTCTATTTTCCTGCCAACTACCAAGTAGACCTGGAAGTGGCTATTGGTAGACGTCTACAAGAACCGAACGAACCTGTTCAAGCATATATCACCGATATACAGACGCTTGTACGAAGACATGGGAATATGACACCAGAACAGGAGCTGATGTGGCTATACCGGAACCTGTTACCGGAATACAGACAGCACATCAAAAGGACTGATTTCACCGATATTGTCACTTTCTCTCGTGCTATTAAGGAATTTGAATTACTTCGAGGAGAGTTACAGGAGAGGTACCGAACCTATGCAATGACTGCAAGGTACCCTGTCGTGTCGAGAGCCCCACCGACATCCCCAGCGACAACCTTCCTGACAGCTCCAGAAACCCCGAAGACAGATATGACTAGGACATCTGGCTCAGAAAGAACAGAGTCGAGGAGGAGAGCTGTTCCACCAGTAGTCAGTTCCAGACCAGGAACGAGCTCATCTCCACCAGCAGTGTGTTGGAGATGTGGAGAGACAGGTCACTTTAGGAGTCAGTGCCGATCTGCTCCCAAGTTATTCTGCTCCAGATGTGGGAAGGAAGGAATGATGTCACGTGACTGTCCCTGTCCTAGGTCGGAAAACTAGGAAGGCATTGCCCTGCCCCGAGACCCGAGCAGTGCCATTCCACCAATGTCTCGGAAACGACCCGACCTGTCCGACCTGAAGATGCCCGTCCATTCGTTTCTGTGCACACCCTTGGTGACCGTTTTGAGGCACTGTTAGATACCGGAGCATCCAGAACGTATATAGGAGATAATGTAGCTAGGAAATGTCAAGATATGGGAGTCCCAAAAAGAGCACCGGATGCTTCCATGGCCAGAATGGCAAATGGCCTCCCAGCTCAAGTTCCCAGCAAATATTACTTGGATTTAGTGATTGGGAAAAGAACTATTTCCGCCATAGTTGGACATCTTCCTGGTCTATCATCAGATTTCGTCATAGGCATGGATATTCTGAAACCGCAGAAATTCCAGCTTGATCTTGCGAATGGAAGTATACGAATGGATGGAGAACCAATAACTGAGTCGATTTCGTCATCGATTCACCCGATCAATACCGTCGACCGTGCCGAAAAACTCGTACTTACCCCGACAGAGGATAGAGAACTCCAAGCATTCCTGGACCAGGAACTGGCTCAATTCAAGGACATCAAGGGAGTAACGCCGATACTCAAACACGAGATACGTTTGATTAACCCAGAACCGATCAAACAGCGGTACAGACCACAGAATCCCAGAATGCAGGAGGT